GTCGAGCTCGCCCCCTGAGCGCAGGAAGGGGCCGACGCTCCTCGCCCCCGCTGACCGAGGTGCCGCCCGAGCTGGGGAACAATCCTCTTGCGGGCGTTCCGCGTCCTGTCACCGGGCGCCCGACAGTTCGGTCCGTTTCTCCTCGAGCCCGAGTTTGTGTCCTGAAGTTATTTATCTTTTCATTTTTCTTCCGTAGAGTTACGGTAGTTCTGTCTTTTGCACTGAAACCTCAAGCTTTCCGGTGTTACAGGTGTCTTTAATGAGTTCTTTTGTGTATTTGTCTAGTGGAGAGTAAACGTGCTGCGAAGCCTTACAAGCTTGTTTTGCATGGTGCTTTCTCACGTCTTTTAACAGATAAGGATTTACTACTCGAGCTGGTAAGATGCTTACATGAAGGCATCTGCATGGACGATTTTTAGGTTTATTTCTTTACCCAGCCCTGTTGTACAGGCAGGACATTGTCTCAAGTGCTATGGCATCACATGTATTTTTCTCCCAAGTGTGGCTGTTTTGATCTTGACTTAAAATTGATTGCTTGTATGAGTGTCCCTGAGCCATCTCCAATTCATTTTAAGAGGCAAAGAGAGAAATTATCAAAACAGTAACAAAGAAAAGTGTATAAGTAGTAGTGAGAAGCTGCTTTTATTGAGATACTGGTCAATTTTGTAAAGAAACTCACATTGGTTATATAAAAGTGGCCATCCGAGTTACAGCTGTGCAGTCAGACATCTTTTTTCCTGTGTCAAGTCAGTAAAATGGAGATAATGTACTTTTTCTCTTTTCTGGTATTTCCAGACTTATTGTGCACAGTGGTTTAGGTAGATGTTCTTACCTTCAAAATGTGTTTCTTGCCAACATGTTCCTCTTTTTTTTATGCCACGACTGAGGAAGCTTCATTTTTGCTTTCCCTGCAATGATATTAGTAATGACTACTGTTTTCAATTGGTTATTGTGTAACCATTTACCTTTCTAACTTGTGCAAAATATTTAAGTGAATGGAAGTGTTTGTGCACGATTACGTCCATAAAATGCTCGTGTTGCAGTGAAGCTATTGTCACTTCACTTAAAGATCTCATGAGTGCCACAACTCTTGCTTGCAATCTCAGGTCAGCAAAACTGGTTTTTGTCCTCAAACTGGACCCGTTAGTGCCCGGGCCAGGCCAGCTGGGCGCCGTGCGGACGCAGCGCGGCGGCCTCGGAGCTAACGGCGCGTGGCTCTGCCCTGCGCCTCGCTGCTGCTGCCTGGGCTCCAGAGCGGAAGCCAGCTCTGATGCGGAAACGTGGGTTTATGAGTTGACCTTCATTTTATATCTCTTACTGTATAATCTTTTGGGACTAAAAATACACCAAGCAGTTAGCGTGGTCTAATAAGCATAATGGGTACTTCTGCTCTGCCACAGGGAAGGCGGTCATGGAGCATTTGTTACGTATCTGCTGTGGTGATTTGATTTCTCAAAGACATAGGTCATGTGCAGCTCCTCTGGTTTCCCCTGTGGAAACTGAGTACTGCTCTCTAGTGTTATCAGGCTTGTTAATCTCTAGTGCTTTTTATAGTGTTCCTGTCTAAGTTTACTGAACCTATGCAGGTAGTTGGATGGTATCAACAGATTATTATTGATGTCAAGTTCTTTTTTTCTGAAACCTTGGACTTTGAATGACCTAATCTTACAAAGCTTCTTGAACTAGAGCTTGACAAAGGACCAGTTGTACATATGCATTATAAGCTATCATATCACTTCCCTATATAAGTTTTACAAAAGGTCCTTGTTAGGAGTTTGCCTAATAAAGTGGTCATCTTAAAGAGTGTTTAGGAGATAGCGTCATTGCAGTGCGATCTGCTGTAGTAAAGTACTAATGAGTGTCTGTTTAAGTACACAGCTTGACTCAAAGCCCTGCTGGTGCTGTGAGGGTTTGTGAGTGAAATAGAAATGTGCATGTTACTATATTACTAACAGTTTTCACTTTCTTTTTAAGTAATGCCAAACAACACATAAATTGAGCTGCTTCCCCATGAGGAGGAGTCTGCGTGTGACATAATCCAAATGTTGTAGTGACTCAGCGCCTAGAGGACACTAGAAACTAGAAATGAATTTGAAGCTTCTTGACTGTATTACATAAACAGTACAGCTTTCACACCAGATGTGTTTTGTGCATCATAAATTAAATTCATCAGGTTATTCTGTTCCAAGAAGTTGAGGTCAGCATCTAATGCTGTCTGCTTAAAATTGAGTAGCTCATCCACAAATAATAACTCCTGGTCAGTACACCTACTCCTGTTATTGTGTTTTTCTTTGGTTTTTTTGTGATGATTGACTTTTTATGCTTGGTTGAATGGGGCTGGCTTCTGCAAGACTTGCCTAGCACCTAAGAAGATGCATGTAAAAAGTTGTATATTCTCAGTACCCATTAACTGTTCCTCTGTCACCTTTCCCTCCCTTGGACTGTCCTTTTGTGTGCATGACAAGGAAGTGGGTAACTTGAAAGGCATCCTTCTGTAATTCAGCCAGTTGCTTCTACCAGCGTTCTAGTTTTTGGTGTTCGGTTTGTTCTTCATGTAGCTGTAATTCCTGAATACAGTTGACCCTATCTGGTTTAAAAGTGTAATGTTGTAAGATAGTTACCAGGAAAGTTTTAATGCTTTAGTTATATGATGTGTAATGCACTTTCTATTTCAAATGCATTTTTCCTCAACTGTAATTCAGATTCCATGTTGGTTTCCATTGTTGGGATGGCCCTGTACACGGGCTATGTGTTCATGCCTCAGCACATCATGGCAATATTGCACTACTTTGAAATTGTGCAGTGATGAAGAACGTATTTTCAAGAAGTAACTGGGCTTTGAAATCTGATCTACAAAGCAGAATGCACCTCTTGGTTCTAACAAGACTTCTACCAGTGTCAGAAGGACACAGTTATGACTCTGAAGACTAGAAAACAAGATATGTAGAGCAGGGACATGAGATGTCCCCTATGTTGTGTTCATTCCTTTTAATTTTACGAAATATGCCCTTGTATAGTAGTTTTGTCTACTTTAACATTGTGATTGTAATTTGATATCAGTATTTTCTTAACTTTGTGACAGTTTCAATATTGCACTGTGAAAGCTTTTCTTAATTGTAATTTTGAGTAATTCTTAATTGCCTTCTATTTTTAATCAGAAACTCATCTTATTAAATGGGGCTTAAAGCTTTTGCTATTGTATGGTATGTATTTGCCTGGGTATTTCTATTAATGCGTTTTGTAAGAAAATACATCTAGATTCATATTAGAGACATGGATATATTAGTCTTAACCCTATTTACAAAAATTAGTTTGTATGACTCAACTCAGGTGTACTGTTTGCTGTCCAGACTTTGTTCAACAGTGTACTTGTGCATATAACCTAAATTCGGAATTGGCAATTATTTCAAGTTTCTGTATTCTACCTGTTGGAGGAGGGTGGGGGAGATGGGGTGTTGAAGGCTGCATTTGTTATGTTTGGGGTAGTGCTGTGGTTCTTGGCTTTATCTGGTGGGGGAAAAAAGGACTTTACTAATGTAGGTCCGGGGTAGCACTTTAAATCAACCCTGTTTTTCTAGCTACAAATTAAATTGTACTTTTACAGGATGCTTTATTATGTTCCAATGGTTATGGTTTTTGCTAATTTTCACTCAACAGTGTAACTATGTCTAGGTTTTAAAGGGGTTTTCTATTGCTGCTAGTGTTCCAAACATGTTCTCGCTACAAATGACCAAAACATAGGGGTTTAAATGGACTTGAGTTACAACTACAGCAATAAGTAGCTGAATACTTGGCTGAAGTCCTGTCTTTTTTTTTTTTTTTTAATAGGGATTTTTTTCAGTTTTGTATTCTGAAATGTAAGATGGTGACAACTTTCCTAAGTGGAAGATTTTTTTGTTGTTGTTTAAGAAATAAAAGTTTAAAAGCAGAACTTTGATGCAAAACTTCATTTGAGAATTTAATGTGTTTCTGAATGCTGCTTGCTTTTACCAGTTTATCAGAGACCTGGATGGTGAGATTGAGTATATCCTCAGCACGTTTGCTGATGATTCCAAGCTGTGTGGTGTGGTTGACACCCTAGATTGAAAGGGTGCCATCCAGAGGGACCTTGACAGGCTGGAGAGCTGGGCCAGTGCCAACCTCATGAAGTTAAACAAGGCCAAGTGCAAGGTCCTGCACCTGGGTCGGCACAACCCCAGGCAAAAATACAGGCTCGGGGGAGAATGGCTGGAGAGCAGTCCTGAGGGGAAGGGCTTGGGGGTGGTAGTTGATGAGAAGCTCAACATAAGCCACCAGTGTGTGCTGGAGCCCAGAGGGCCATCTGTATCCTGGGCTACATCAAAAGAAGTGTGGCCAGCAGGGCCAGGCAGGTGATTCTGCCCCTTTGCTCTGGTGGGACCCCACCTGGAGTACTGTGTACAGTTCTGGTGCCCTCAGCACAAGAAAGAGACCTGTTGGAGAGGGTCCAGAGAAGGGCCATCAAGATGATCAAAGGCCTGGAGCACCTCTGCTATGAAGACAGGCTGAGAGAGCTGAGGCTGTTCTGCCTAGAGAAGAGGAGGCTCTAAGGAGACCTTATAGGGGCCTTCCAGTACTTGAAAGGGGCCTACAGGAAAGCTGGGGAGGGGCTTTCCATCAGAGAAGATAGGACAAGGGGTAATGGTTTTAAACTGAGACAGGGGAGATTTAGGTTAGATATTAGGAAGAAATCCTTCACTATAAGGATGGTGAGGAGCTGGAATGGGTTGCCCAGAGAGGTTGTTGATGCCCCATCCCTGGAGGTTTTTAAGGTCAGGTTGGATGAGGTTTTGTGCAACCTGATCTAGTGGTAGGGTTCCCTGCTTATGGCAGGGGGATTGGGAATTGATGATCTTTTAGGGCCCTTCCAACCTTAGTGATTCTATGATTCAAAGTTTCCAGAAAGTGAAAAATGATCCTTGACTGAATTAATTGTGATTTTTAATAGGTACTGTTACATCTTTTATGAAGCTTCTGTTGAAATCAGGAGTTGTACCTAAGTTGTACAACTAAATTATTTTTTAGAAAAGATACTGTCTTTTAAGTTTGTTTAATTTTCTCAAATGCATGCTCATGAGAAAAGAATGGTTTTATCCCCTGTATTTAAGAACTTCATGTGTATTAGATTGAAGACTGTTGTCATCTTGGGAGCTATAAACTGTGGGCCTTAAACTTCTTAGTTGAATCCTAGCTTTACTGAAGTTATTAGTGTCTTTGCTTATTAATAACTGGCTATTTAAACATAGGTTGTTTTTTGGGGTGGTGTTTTGTTTGTTTTAATGTATCCAAAGTTGTGAGTATTTTAAATATATGTTGAGATAACAATAAGTAACATACTGCTTTTGGAGTAACGTACATGACTTCCTGCTCTCCAGTGATTGAATTGGTACTGTGTTGTTTCTTTGTGAACTACTGCTGGGGTTGATGCATATCTACTGCTGAGAAAGGGTTTTAGTTGTACGAGGGTGGGGGGAAAAGTCCTTCTGTGTGGTGGCATTAGTGATGTTAAGCATGATTTTTAATTGTGAAAGGTTTGGTATTCCAATTTTTGTTAGCTGTCTGCTTTTTGTTGAGAAGAAGAGAGGAGCCGTAATCTCCAGCCGCTTGCATTATGTTGATCAATACCATACTGGAATTCAATTGACTAATTTTGAGTACAGACTTTTTCAGCATTTCCTTCTTTAATTATAAAAAAAGAGTCTCATACTCTTGGACTGTTTTTTTAAATTCTGGATACTGTACTAAAGATTGAATAACTTCATTAATAAAATACTGTATGTTACTCAGAGCTTGAATTTCTAGAAGAAAGTATCTGCAAGGTGCCCTTTTCTTAAAATTGATCTAGCGAAGAGGTTATTCCTGGGGTGATAATTATGAAGCAGAGTAAGTTTTCTTTTTTAAAGTAAGGGTATTTGTAGTGACTTAATTAATCATTAATTTTTAATAATAAATTAATCATAGGGCTACAGAGTTGTTTTCCCACTGCTTCTTTGTTGTGTGAGTTGGGGAATCGTATCCTCATTGTGATGGAATCATAAACTTTTTCTGTACAAGCTGGAGGTTGAAGACAGTTCAAATACCATTTGGAGGCACCTGGTCAATTATCCTTCTGTTTTACCAGGGTGATAATATTTGAGCAATCAGTATTTTGGATAAAGTTGGAAAAAATAATTGTGAGAAAGAAGAAAAAAAATCTGAGCCCTGCAAGAGGCTTTATGTTAGTCTTGTAATAGTAATAGCTCTTGGGGTTTAGATTTAAATAGTAAGAAATAAGCATTTAATAATGCATTAACTGTGTCATAACTCAACTGCTAATACCAGCTCCCTCAGCAAGCCCTGCTTGAGGTTGGCAGCAGGTGTGGCTGGGACATCCCATCTGGGTGGGGTGGCTTGCTGTGCTGGTTGTTCTGGCAAGGGCCCCCAGAGCCTGCGGCTATGATGGCTTCCAGAGCCGGCTCTGCAAGGGCACCTTGGCTGATGGGAGGGCTGGGTGATGTAGAAATAATCATAAAGCAACTTTGCAGTAGGAGCTGCCATAACCAAAAGAAGAAACGAAGGCATAGTATTGCAGAAAGTCAATCTGGAACCAGAAACAGAGCCAGGATGTGTACGTATGTATGTTCTGGGTCAGTTATTTTATGTGTGTGTGTAGATATACACACAAACACACACACACAGTATTTATATATATATATATATGCACACACATATACATAAACTGTTAATTTCTTGTAGAAATTACTTTGGAGACAGAGGCTGTGGTGTGGGGTTTTTTTGTTGTTTTTGTTTGTTTGTTTTTCCTGGTTTCTTAACCACCCCATGTAGGAAAATACCAGAGAATACTGAATTGAGACTTCGCAAAACTTACTAAGGAAACCACTTGTGTAAATACTCAAAAGAAATAGGTATGAAAGGAGCATAGCACTTTAAAGGTGACTCTTGTGTGATAGATTTGCATTGTATCACTGCAAAGTGGTGCAACTGGTTTGATGTGAAGCACTGCCCTTTTTCAGTCAGGTGCATTAATGGAGTGTGCATTTCAGGTACTGAAGAAGGGGTACCTGCTTTTGGCTAACAACAAAGAGGGGTTGTAGTGAGGTGAAGAGATACCACTTGAAGAGATCTGATGCCATGGAGTTAGCAGACTGTGCACAAAGCTGTGGAGACAGCAGCCATCCTCTGAAGTATCAGAGCAACATACGCTGGAGTACAGACCCAACAAAAGTCTTCAGGGCTAGAAGTTACTTTTACCTGTTAATTTTTCCATGTTATATGCAACTGCTATTGTAGAAAAACAGGTTTTTTCACTGTTTCTGACATGATATCCTCACACCAGTGAGGCTGTTTATAAAAGTTTTTTGTTGTTGTTTTTAGGGGTTTTTTTGTGTGTTTGGGGTTTTTTTGTCTTCTTTTTGTTGTGTTTTGTTTTTGTTTGGTTTTTAAGCATGAAGCTTTGCATGTGGTTTGTATTATTTCTCTGATCTGCTAGGTCAGCCTTAAACAACCCTCAGCACTGAGCACAATGGCAGCTGGCTTTTCTGCCTTTTGTTTGTTTAGTGATGGTTTAAGGAAGAAAATCTGGCATTATAGTTCAAAGCTGGATCCAAATTTCTCTCCATGTAATGGGGAGAGAAGAAATTCCAGATCTGATCTAGATCCCAGTGTGGGATTTCAGCAGAAACCACTCTGCTTTTTGTAACCTTCAGTGTATAATTTCAAGATCCTCAATCCATCTGAACTGTTTCTGCATGATTAAGACTAAGAAATCATGAATATCCACTTACCATG